TTAATGCTTGTTGGGCTTTGTCATGTAAGGATTTTATCCCCAGCTCTGCAAGAAGATTTGTGTAACCTTTCAGTGTGAGGTCTTGCATTCGTAATTGTGCAGTGTGCAGAATATTGCACAGTGGAAAGTGGGACTTATTTTTCTGGCTGGCTGGGCAGGACATCTCTAAGCTAAAAGCATTTGGTGAGAGGAAGCAGCAGCAGCTGTTCTGTGTGTTGTTTAGAGTCAGCTCTGCAAGTTGGTGCAACTGTAGATAAACTGAGGAGAAAAGTGAAATCAAACACTACTTTAAAGGGACTGCGAGAGGTTACCAGTAGGTAATCTTTTTCCCCACATTTTATGTGGAACACATCTGGAAATATCCTTAAAGAACTGGGGCTATGAAGCCCTAGTCCGTGGTAATGGGCATCTAAAAGCTTTCATTCCGTGTTGTTCTTGGCTTCACGCTTCTCAGCTTCCCTGGGAGCCTACTTCTTTTTCTATTTTTTTCCATTTTACGTATTAACTTCTTATTGAAGTTAATTGAGGAAAAGACGGATTGTCTTCAACCAGATGCCACAGGCTTCAAAACCACTCTTTCACTGCAAAACAAAAATATGCCTGTGGCTCTGTCCTACTGGGCAGCTCAGCCCAAGACACCAACACATCCCCTGGGCTTGGGCAGAGCAGGAGGGTCACAGCAGTGCTTGCCAGCATGATTTCTATGTTAAAAGTGTGGTGCATTTTTTGTGTAAAAGAACTTGAGTGAAATTATCTTAAAGGTAAGCTAGCTAAGCTATATTGGTTGCCCTTAAATTATAATGCTAATATTCAAAGTTAGGGCTGGAAGACGTCATTTAGCATAGATTTCAGCTTAAGTGGCTGCAGGGTAAACAAATTATTGCTTCTAGTTCCAAACCTGAAGCAGAAATAAAGCTTACACTTTTAGAAATAGGTAATCCACACAAACCTAAAAGCCCTCCACAAGATCAGTAGCCATGAGTAATGAAGAACAGGTCGCAGCGCCTGGTGAATCAGTTACATTGTTAGTTCCTCACAACTTTTTTTTCCCCCTGAAGATTTAGAATTTATGCTTGAAATTCCTAAATATTATTCTCACTTTGCAAATAGGACAGCTGAGCAGGAGGGATTTAAGCAGCTTGCTGAAGGCCGTGCTCAGGGTTGGATAAAGCAGTAAAATGCTGGAATTTATCTGCCTGCCTGCAAGATAACCTCACCTTTGTTGATCAAAGCTTTTGGTGCTCTGTGTAAGTGCAGCACGCTGCTTTCTATCAGCATTGCCCCTTGCTGCTGATGTGCAGCCCTTTTGTGGCTGTCAGGCACCGCTGCTGGGTGGCATAACTGAAGGGACAAGTCTCCTCTCTAAACTGAATATGGAGAGCTCGAGTGTTGCTGGTGCTGCATCACAGCTTACCGTCACGTGTAGCTTCTCTGCACAAGCAGAAGTTTGGAGCTTTCCAGCTTCCTTTGAGCCTTAATGGAATGATGAAGTGTTCTGCTTTATTCATTTTAAACTTGAGAGAAAAGGTACAAGCATGGAGGGAGAAAGCAGAGTCATACCAAGTGGAAAAGGCAGCTGTGGTGTATAGACGTTACCCATTCAGCAGCTGAAGATGTCGTTGCATTCGGATGAGCCACTGTTTGAATATCTTTTCCACCAAGTTGGAACTAAGTCACTTGATCAACAAGGAAAGGGTTTTGAAAATGGGAGTAAATCAGATACCTGTTATCTTTTATTTTGCTTATCTTCTAGGCGACGGAGTTAGCAGTGATGTAACTCCTGTTTTTTTGTGTGTGTGTTTTTGTTTTGGGCTTTGCCTTCAGCTCTATGACATGTAGTTACGTGGTGTGTAGTAAGGTCAGCTGAACCTTGTGTTGCTTCAGGCAGCAACCAAACCTATCTGCGTTCAAGGTTCAGGTCAGGTTCAGCTGTTTGGCTGAAATGGTGTTTTACTTCAGCACCAGAGAGGCAAATTATCTAAAGGCTGCAAGAAGTAGATAGTTTTTAACATTAGTAGGAACTGGAGAAAATGCTGATGAAATGCTGTAAAATTATATGACTTTTCTGAAGGCTGAGCTCCTTGTGAGATACGTCTTGAAGAAAAAGTGCCATAAAACAGATCGTTTACAGGAAGAGGTGCTTTTTCAAATACAGCTTTATTTAACGCTCATAGAAATGAACGTTATAGACATGGCTGTTGTGGCTTTTGCATTGGTTGTTATAGGTTGTCTTAAAAAGAAAACAAAACAACTGGAAGTGAAAACATTTACTTGTTTTCCCAACACGTGTTTAACTGAATGGTCTCTTCCTGCGTGCTTCATGCTCTGTGATTGGTCATTTTTAACCATCCCAGCATAAACTGATGTCACCTGTGAGCACAGGTATGCACATTCAAAGAGCTGCAGCCATGCTAGGAGCATTAAAACTGGGCGTAAGAGAAAACATCACATTAAAAAAAAACAACCCTGCCTCCTACAATAGAAGCAGCTGGCTGCATTTTATAAGGACTTAATTGTGTCATGTTTATTATGGTGTAAATGACACCTTACTCTTCTCTTCCTCTGCTTCCCTATGCAACGTGTAAGGAAAAAAATGACAAAAATGGGAGTCTGCCTCAACTTTCAAGAGTGTATGTAAGTGCCTTTATGTGACCGAAGGAGACAGAAAGGGGAGGGAGGAGCTTCATTTTTTCATTTTATAAAAGCATCATCTTTGAGAAGCAGGTATTGCTTTTATTAAAACCAGTCCATAACGACCAGTGATTTCTCTACAGTTGTCAAATTCGCTTTGATTACAAGACTAAATTGAGAACTCTGTTCCAAGCACATAGGACTTTTCATTAGTCCCTGTAGTAACTTGTATTTCATTTCCAAACCAAGACAGAGCAACATGGGTGACAATTTAAGACTGAATTTTGGAAACAAGGAGTGGTGTTTCTTTGAGCTTAGCAGTTTTACCACTGTGTGAAGCTACAAGATTTTCACAAGGCTTGTAAGGGTTTCCTAGCTTCAACTGAGGAAGAAAGGCACAGCACTGAGAACAGCCAGCAACAGCTGTGTTGGATAGAGGTGAAGATACAGCTGGCTTGGGCCAGGTGAGGGGTAGTGGCATTCCATGCAGTGTAAGATGCCGCTGCTGGTCAGTCCCATGAATTAATCAGGATTGTGGCTTTTCCATTTGGGCTTCTAGTTGTGCGTTGTTCATTTTCCAGCTTGCCAGCACTGATAGTCCTTATATTTAGCTCTCCTTGGCTTAATCCTTCTTAACTGCCTTTAAATAAGCACAAGACAGTAGAAGGGCAATTGTCTTCTAGATGTCTGAGTCTGGACCTGACCACATACAGCTGGGTTTTTTCCAGCATTGTGTTGCAGTTTCCGTTCAGCACATAGGCTTGGGGAAGATACCACAGGACCCCACAGTCGCCTTTGTGTCAGGTTGTCCTCCCCTCACACTGTGTCAAGGCTGCGTGTCCAACTTCCTTGCTGCTTCAGTCTCTTCCGACTTAAGAGCTCACCTCTTCTCCCTTGGACTTTCTGTACCCTTAATACCATACTTTCTTCTTGGCTAAATTATATCTGAGCAAGCATACATCTGAGTGTGATAGCTAAGCTAAAAAAATCAAGTAATAATAATTAGAAAATAAACCAAACAACTCTACATATCAGATGTCCAGAATGCCTTGTATGTGTGCAGAGAATGCTGCACATGAAATACACATCAGTTTCCTTGAACTTCTTTTGAAATTCCTTTTGAGGAGTGAGGTTGATGCCCTGTATCTTTCCAGATGTAGATAAAAACAAACTGTTGATCCCTGATGGATAGATTTCCTTTCGACAATAGCATATTATGGAATGTGTGTGTAAGTACATGAGCTTGTGTGTGCACTAAAGATATTTACTGTGTTTAAAATAAAGGGAACGTACTACTAACTAAGACAGTTATTGCAGTGAAAAAAATGCATCCCTCATGGTGTACATGACATGGTGACACGGTGATGAGATGCTGTAAGAAAAACTGTTGATAGCATGAAGTAGTAAGTGCTGGCAGAAATAGCCATGATGCATAGTGTGCATCTGTGAGCCTAATTGGAACTGTAATAACCAGAGGCAAAGAAGTCTGTTCGCGTTGTACAGTTACAATTTTGTTAAATAAATATTGATGCAGTAGGATGCAAATAGTACTTTACATTTTGTACTGTTTTGCTGACACTGGCGCAGTTCTATTTAGATAGTTTGCTGCTTCTGCTTTCATTTAGCACATGTGCCACATTGCCCTGCTATGTAATGGCAGTCAACTCCTTGGTCAGTCTTCTGCTACAGAAATATTACTAGTAGGCCTAGCAATGCCATGCATGCAGTCTGATTTTTTGCTTAAACTTTGGTTTCATCATTAAATATTTCCTATTGCATCTAGATACTGGTCCAGCTTCTGATTTATCTTCTCTGAAGTTCAGCCATGTGGATCTGTGAGCCTGTTAGTCCGATTTTAGAGGTGTAGTTCAGTTAAGGGAATACCATCAGGGTTGTTGTCATGCCTAAACCAGAACTTGTGTGTTTTGCTGTGGGTCTCCTGCCTTTATTCAGAACTAAAACAGGCTGTTTCTTATGAAACCAAACTTTTATCTTTCAAGTTTATTCTGTTGTTCTGTGAAGAGAGAGTAGATTCCTTCAGTCTACATCATGACATGCTTTCTGGTTGCTCATGTTCATATAGTTATCTTGTTTATTAACATTTTCTCAGTTCTGTTTGCATTTTTATATTAGTTACAGTAAATGCATATGGGAGGTAACAGAAAATACTTTGTTTAGATTACGCAATAGGAAGCCCTGAAGCAGCAGCTGAAGCAAAATCTTAAGCAGAAATGGAACCACGGAATGCAAGAATATGGTTTTGCTGTCCTGGGGATGCTGGTTCTGAGCTTCAAGTGGACTAATAGCGATCATGCTTCAAACTGAGGGCAGAACTTCTCTTTGCAGTGGTTTTCATTCAATGTATGACTGTTCTGGAATCACAACTAACGTTTTTTTTCTCTTTTTTACAGACTGGACTTTGACATTCTTTTCATGACAGAGGTTTCCAAGTAGTTGTCTTGCTATAACTTTGAGAAGAAGTTCTATGTAGCTCTTACTTTCGAGAGTGCTGCAAAAATGATTACTTCAGATTTGCCAGTACTACAGTGAGTATGCACTTCTTTATGTATTTGAATTTCTCAGCTTTCAAAATGCAGAATTGAGCAGGAAGCAGACCGGTGTTCCAGACTTCGTGCGTTGTCATAGCCTGGAAAGCTATAAAACTTAAGGGTTTCCTTTAAAGGGTGGCTCCTTATATGGAGATTTTACTTTGATGTGAAAAGTGAAAACAAGTATTTGCTACTCTTATGCTTCTAATGTTACAAGATTTCAGAAATAGGAATGGGCTTTTGTCATAATTGAGCACTTCTGCGTATTCCAGGAGGGCACTTCTTTCCGTGAGCTGTATTTATTGTACAAAAGGCCTCTGGCTCCTCTGGTTGAAGCGTGCAAGCGGCGTTCACGTGTTCTGGTCCAGCCAGCCCCGCAGTGCTGCTTCCTCACAGTCCTTTTCCCGCCCTTTTTACAACCCGCCCCCCAGCAGAGCTGCCGGCCGCGCTGATTGGCTGAGCCGCTCCTCACGGAGCTGGCTGCGACCGGCTGCAGTGCCCGCGCCTCCTGAGGCTGCAGCAGACAGCGGTCAGCAAGCGATAATCTGATGGGAATGGAGAGGTGAACGTGGAAGTTGGCACTGCATGTCAAACAGCCTTCCTTCTGTGATGGGCCTGACCTCAGATTTAAGTCCCTTTGAAGAATCTGAGTGTTTTGACAACTGTGAAATTATTTGACCTTAATAATAGTATGCCCAGGACTGCCGTTATCTCCTGTATTTTTAAAGCCATTTCCAGAGAAAAGCCAATCCTTGTGGTGAGCCGGCAGTGGGTGGCTGTGATGGGTACCACCGAGGGGCAGCGTTCCAGGAGATGCTCTCAGTTAAAATTTTCCTGTGTGTGCCATGTTCAAGTAACTGAAATGTGCTGAGGACAGAAAGCTTTTACGTTTTGTCACTGTGATTATGGGAAAGGGATATTCCCGTTCCCAGTTCACAAGTCTGCATGGCCCTAAGAAGTGAATGGAGCAGCGTAGAATTTAGAGTTATATAATGCATATTAATAGATTCCATTACTCAGCACCCCAGCTGGGAAGTGTGAGGGACATTTGATAGTGCAGTTCTGCTCAACCCAGAGATGACTGAGGTGGCAGTAAACCACCCATACTGTCCAACTTAAACAACCTAACCAACCTTTAAGGCCATCCTTTTAGACAAAGAGTTTGAAAGTCGATTTGTTTCGTTAATATACTTAGAACAGTATCAGTGACTCCCTCTCAGAATTCTTCCCTTTGAGGGCACACAAAAAGGAGGAATCTTTAGTTTTTCTGGATTCACTGAAGTGGCTTCAGAATGTCCTGAAGGCAGAATGCTACGTATCCATCTTTCAGACGTAGCACAGAGCTCTGTCTGGTTTACGTGACCTAGGTGACTGCTGAAAGCTGGGCCTCGGTGGGATGAGTCATGTTTGCTGTGAGGCACGCTCTCAGATTTTGAAGATCAACCATGAGAGCTGATTCATCCATGATTCATGAGCCTGTGCATTTAGCCATTTTTCTTTGGGAATGCTTTTCTTCACGAGGCTGAGGCTGGTGGCAGCAATTACTGGATTTATGTCTGCCAGAACCTTGAGCCACCTCAACAACACAGACAAGGTCTACAGAAGTGTTTTTATTTACTAGAACTGGTGTATGAACATAGGTTTTTGGTGTGGTTGTTTCTTTAGTTTTGTTTTAAGGGCATGGTATGAATTACACAGCTAGGGCTTTGTGTAGTAGTAGAAGGAAGGTAAATTTAATTCAGTTGATTTATTTTGCAGAGATTTGAAATTTATTGTGTCGATGGAAATATTTTCTTTAGAAGCATGACATAGCAAAGGACTGACGAGTAACCCATTAATTCTTCATTAACACATGATTAGTTTAATTGGCCAGGATTTACAACTTCAGAATAATATCCAGAGTTTCTAGGAGGCATTCTGGAGTTACTGCCAAGTTTTCTAGAATGCCTGTGCCACCACAGAAACCAGAAAGAAAGGCAGAGTATACTTAGGTTCCTTACAGAGGTTATGACTTCTCTTCCTTACTTTGTTCAGCCTGGTCTTGTAGGTCTCCTCACGCTCTGCCAAGTTCTCTCATGTCTCTGCCATGGTCAGGGTGTCTTGGAGAGGAAGAGCTTAGCCTTCAGCACTGCTGCCTTTCCTCTCATGCAGGTCTGTTTAGGCCCACTTTCCATCCCAACAGCTTCAGGAAAGGTAAATGGAAAATTACGGCAAAACCTAGGTTTTTCTCTCAGGTGACGAGTCACACACACACGTGAAGAATAAGGATAGGATAATTCTGGTCTGTTAAGTTGCAGGTGAATGCCACAGGAAAAATCGCTTCCTAGCAGCTCTGAAAGATGTGTAGGGAACGAGAGATGGATGCTGGCCAGATGCTCCTCTCAGTAAGTGTTAAAAACCTGACAGAACTGCAAGCAGTTCTGAGATGCTTTGTTCCTCCCCTGAGTTCATAACTAAGAAGAAAGGAACATGGGTGTGTGCATTCAGAGCAGCTATAAGGCTTCGCCAGGAGCGAGAAGCACTTCCTCCCACACTCTGAAGGAGCTCTAGGCCTCAGTGCAAGGGCCTTTTTGTGCAGGAGCTGCATGGTTCCAGCAGAACCGCCTGCTTCTGGAAATACTGCGGGTGTTTGTTTTCATGATAAGTCAGCCGAGGACTGTAGGTTGTCCTTATCCTGTCACCCCTCTCCATAAACGTGATCTGCTTATTAATTTGTTCACCTGTTACAAGCTTATGTTCCTCTGTGGGAAGAAATATTTTCTCTTCCCCGCTTACTGTTAGGGGGAGATTGATCTTTTTAAAATGTTGAACGTTTGTATTTGAGAACCTTGTCTAGACCACCTTTCTATTAGTGGAGGAAAGAAAACTCATAAATTGTCTAACCTATTTTGGACAGTGATTTCAGCATGAGGTATATTGCAGATTTTCAGTGTGTATTGTATACGTCTAAAAGTAAGACAAAGTGAATCATACCTCGCTGATTTCTTGGGCCTCTCCAAAAAAGCTTCCAGCAAATGAGAGGTGTTTCGACAGGAGAATCAGAGAAGCGTGCTTATCACGTTTGAGACAGAGCTCTGCTGAAAAGTGAAAAGGTTAGTAATAATTCAAATGTTCATTTCATACATAGAGCTCTGAAGTGATTGCTAAACACTCAGGTCTCCATAGATGGAGTTAGACCCAGACACTGGTGTAGCAAAATGAAGATGTCCATGGACTGGGTGCATGCAAAATGGTAGGATGGTTTGATTTATTTCCTTCCATAACTCAGCATTTCGGGGAAGTAGTAGAGCCATTTGTCATGGCAGACTGCTGAATCTGCTTTTAATGGAGAAGAATATTTGTCTCGATGACTTTAGGTGTGTGGTTTTGTAAGCTAAGGAAGTTACAGCATTTCCACAGAACTGCGGTATTGTTTGGACCACCCCATGCCTGACACATTTTTGTTAGGGTTCTGTGGATGAGAGCAGCTGTTTTTTTCTACACAGAGCAAGAGTGAATGGCTTTAATTTATCTGCAGCCACAGAATGCAGCAGATATTTCTATGCATGTTCCTCACTTCTGCATTCAGAAGTTATTAAAAAAAAAAAGCTGTCATTGTAAGGCAAATGCATGTTTTACACATTGAGTTGTAGCATGTGCAGAGCCTGGATACATCCGTCCACGTAGGCATTGTTTTCATCTGCTGGGTTGGTTTTCATCATTGTGAAGCCAAGTCATTTTGAACTGTTGTTGGGTTTCACTGATTTTTTTTTTTCCCTCATTTGGTTTCACTTATTTTTCAAATGAGTTGGGTTTTTCAAATGTCCTGCTTAAGGAGCAGACAAGTTAATTCTCTAGTTCCATCACACCTAAGCTTCAGTTTAAGTTGTAGAAATACTGCCATAAAAACATGCAGTCTGCAAACTAGAATGTGCTTGGATACAGTTGGTATTGAATGTGGGCATGTGCATTTCTGGGATACATAGACTACTGCAGGGTAGTCCATCAGCAGTGCTGTCAGGAAAGCAGATTGCTGTGTCTTCTTCTGTGTTCCAACTTTTGTAAACGCACACTGCATGGTGTTCCTGTGCTTGTAAACTGGAAAAGGTCAGAAAATAATTCCTCAAAATACTAGAATTTCAGCATAGTTCCACAAAATCATCTGTGTTAGAGGAGGCATATGCTAATTTAGGGGAATGCACTAATTTCAGTCAAGACAAGTGTCAAAGATTCCTGATTCTGGTGTAGTGATATTTGCATCTTTCTGCATTATTGAATAGCTTTCTTGGTGATGCAGCAAATTTCTGAGGTATTCCTGATTCAAGCAAACAAGTGAACAGAAATCACTGACAGCGTGGAGGTCTTAGCTTCTCAGTTTCCACAAACCAGATCACTAATGCCTTTCATATTGGAGGGTTTATAATTTAATGGGACAGATGTGATTTTTTCCCCCTTCCCTCCGTACAAGTTTTACTGCAATTTAACTGCCTTCACTTCAAGGAAATTATACTGCCTTTAAGGAAGGCTGTGATTAGAACTAGACTTGACCCAGCTTTGAACAAACGAGGACATTGCTGTAGGTATTCTTTCACTTGTGGAGATGTCATGCACTGCTGGTCTTGCAAAGAACAATGCACATCATTCACAGGTGGTTTTGGTTGTGGGTTTCTCTTGGGCAAAACGTAATGTTGGAACATGACTTATAAGCTGAGTTTGTTCAAGCAGCCAGGTCTGTTTTAAAGGGAGGTACGTGTGGGCCTGGCTTGTAGGGGGAAAGAAGAGGAATTGGAGGTAATGAATGTTTCTCCCTATTGAGTATGGCCTTAGTCTAAACCAGGAATTGCTACAATTGTTATGAGCTTCTCTGCTGATAATCTGAGCTTTGTGAGGTTTCTTTTGTTTGTTTTTTGTTATTATTGCACAAGTGGAAGCATTTTCCTAGCTGCAAGGATCTTCAATGATTTAAGATTGAAGTGAGTCCTCTGGTTTGTGCCTCGTGGTCACTGTTAATCCGTTTTTATTAACAGCTGCACAATGGCGTTGTCTTCAAGCGTGACTAAAAACAGGATTTAACCCTAGTGGGACTTTGTGCAACTGCCCTAATGCTGTGGTAGCCAGATCAGGTGCTTGATTGGTTTCTCTCTAACCTTAAAAGCAGCTCAAAAGTACTTAAGAAAGCTGATACTAGTGAATATACTACGTATGATGGGTATATTGACAATATGCCGCTTGATATAGTGAGTTTTTGAAGTGCAACTTGATTTCAAAAGAAGCTACTAATTTAAAGAAGTTTCAGTCTATAAAATGACATTCCAGCCCATAAAAAGGTAAGGACTTTTGCCAGGGGTGGCATTGCTTGGTTCCTTAGTTTGCAGAATAAATGTGGCAAGCCTTTTAATGCTTTTTTTTCCTGATTTAGGACTAAAAATTTAATCAGTCAGTTATAGATTACTTGTTGATTTCAAATCATTTTCATTTATCTAGTATTTTTCCCCCCTAGGGATTCTACAAATGAAACTACTGCACATTCAGATGCTGGCAGTGAGCTTGAAGAAACAGAAGTCAAAGGAAAAAGAAAAAGGGGCCGTCCTGGCAGGCCTCCAGTATGTGTAATTTAGTTTTATTTTGTTATGCATCTATCTAAAATTGACTGCAAACTGTTTTTCATCTAATCGTCTTGTGGTCACATAAATAGGCTTTTAATGAGCCCTATGTCAAACTATGAAGACTTGTAGTATGAAGTATTTATCAGGTTGAAATACAAGTGTTTGAAGTAATTAAAAAGGGACATAAAAATGAGTTCATACAGCTTTTTAAAATTTACTAGCTCTGTACTGTTTTGTTGCTGTCATGTTACAACATTCTTCCAGACCTGAGCAGAGTCTCACTGAACACAACCACTTTGTCTAGAAAGTTGTAATGATTTTTTTTTCAAGTGACAAATGACAGCTGAGCCATGTTCTTAGGAACTGATCATCTCTTGGTGTGAATGGAATAGCTTCAGCATAGTACTAACAATGTCTCAGAAGATCAATTAATGCATCTTAAAAAATCATATAATTGGCACACCTGATGTTCTGCATATCAGTAGGGAGCTTTGACTTCTTATCTAACATACAACCATAGTTAACCCATGATTTTGCTGTCTGCTGTGTGAGATTTGCTAACAGACTGCTTTTCTTAGCTGTGTTTGCCCATTTCTGGCCCATAAATGGGAAGATGCAGAAACAAATCTCTATCACACAGTGTTAAGGCAGGTTGGTCTTGTATTTTCATTTCCTTTACAAATTACTACCCAGCTTATTAGGAATGACTGAAGTTCTGTTGCGTCTTGTGCTCTTTTTCTTTTGTAAGTTCAAGGCCACGTGATGCAGTTCTCCTGTTTGACATCACCTGAAATACACAGTGTGCAATGAGATTTTTGGTGGCAAGTTCTGTGTTTGCTATTAATTGTTTTGATTCTCCTCTTAGTGTTTGCCTCCAGGTTCACCCCTATATACAGTGCTGAGAGACTGAGATTTTGTGCATTTGTTTTCCTTTTTATCCTAAGAGCATCCACCCTAAATCTAATCCCTAACCATAGCTAGTGAGGCTGTAGGCATGGGCAGAAGCATGTGTTTCTCTCTAGTATGCAGACAAAGCATACTGGCTTTCAGTTTGCATTCCAGTTTCTGGAGTTCATGAGCCAAGATTTTAGGTCCTGGGCTTTTCTTGGCAAGTCTTACTCCTTCCTGAAAGTTTTTGGGTAGTCTTTTCTGTGAGGCTATGTATTTTCCATCAGATAGATAAGCTTACCTTATCTTAACAAGAAAGATGTAAAGAAAAGAAATCGTCTGTTTACACAGCCTGCAAGAAAAGAGTGAAATGAGAAATTCTTAATGTTTCATTAGTGAATGTATCAGTTATTAGATTCCAATTGAAAAAGAAAAGAAAACAAAAAACTTGGTTTTTTGCAACCTGATTGCTAACCCAGAAGGCTGTCAGTCTGTGAATGGAAGGTAAAACAACACTGCTATTATTATATTCCCCTTTCATATTGAGTGGAAAAGAGAGGTGAATGTTATAATGTATTCCTCATCCCTCTGTTTGAGCATATCAGTAACTCCTGTGAGAGCATTTACTGAAGCACTCCTGCTTCAAGTTTCTACAGGAGCATTTGCTTATGTATAGAGCAACCCCCAATGTTAAGCATGCAAGTGTTGAAAATGCTCTTCAGCTCTCTTGATGTGGAGGACCAAGATGCTGTGAAAGGGTCACCTTTATGTTTTCTAGAAGTTAAAAAGAAAAAGCAAATCTAGTGTTTAAAACCAAGGAAGACAATAGAACATGAGTAGTTTTTGTAATTCTTGTTTTCCAAAATTGGACTTCTTTGCATAAGTCTGATTTCTTGACTCCTTTCTACCCCTAACCCAAAATCACAAGGAAGTTACACTGGGACTGGAACGGGTTCAGAGAGGAGTGCAGTGATGAGCAGTCATAGAGTCACTGGAGTGGGAGGGACTTTGTGAGGCTCTGTTCTGACCTGCTCAAAGCACAGTCAGCTTTGGGATCAGAGCATGTCACTCAGAGCTTTTGCAGTCTGGTTCTGAAAACCTTGAGGGCTGGATAGTATACGCCCTCTCTAAGCAATTTGTTTCGTTGCTTGACTTTTCTGCTGCAAAAAAGCTTTTTCTTTTTGCTTGATGAGAACCTTTCTTGCTTCAGTTCTTGACTGTTGTCGCTTGTCTTCGCACTGTATGCTGTTGCAATAAAAGCCCCATTGGGGAAGTGTTCCCAGCCCCTGTCTGTGCTGAGCCAGAACCAGTCACAGTATTCCAGATACAGGCTAACAAGTGCTGAGTGGGAGAGGATAATCCACCTCCTTGATGTACTGGCTGTGTTACATTAGTGCAGGCTAGGCTGCTGATGACCTGTAGTGCCAGGACACCCCGCTGTCTACCATGACTCTGATGGTATTTTCCACAGAATAAAGGCCCAACTAGCCCGCAGCCTGTAGGTGCAGGGATTTGTTACTCTGCCATGGGACAGGTCTTTGTCCATTTTGAAATGGGAGTGTCCTGTTAGCCTAGTCCTCCAGCTGCCCACAGCAGTCTTGCCCTTGATATCACTGTGTGGTCGCCGTGTGGATTTCATGTCGTCTGCACACCTGACAGAAACCCATTTTCTCCCCTCTTTGGCTGTCTGATAAAGATGTGGAATAAGACACATTCCAGTGTAATCTTCCTTCATACCCTTACAGCCAGTAGAGACTGACATGTTAGCCCCTGTCCTCTGAGTTCAGCCATTTCTCCAGCCATCTAATTCTGTTGTCTGCCCATCTGGATCACAACTTCCCAATCTACATACAATTCTGTGATTCTGTGATCTGCATAGAAGAATACTGTGAGAAATTGTGGAAATCGTGGCTAACATTGATAAATAACATTTACTGCTTTCCCCTCACCACAAATTTTCTAAGTTTTTGTGATGGCTTGAGACAAAATGTTTGTGTTTGGATCCACAATGGCACCTTGCCTGCACAGTTCGTACTGCAGCAATGGAAAGGAATAAATAAGCATCTTCAACAGAAAATGACTGAAAAGGAGAAAGCCACACAGTCTTTGATATCTTTAAGGAGAAATGCAAACTCCTTTGAAAGACTAGTTCCAGGCATTTAAATTTATAACATTATTTGATATTGAAAATCATGGCCTTAGTAAGAGGTACTTAGAGGTGTTGGTTTTGCAAACGTTGGACGTTCGCTTTCTTCCTCCTCCTCCCTGTGGCCTCATCCCTGCTGCGATCCTGCCTGGATTGCACAGCTGAATTGTCTGACACAGGAGTTGTGGCTCCCCAGCTCCTCCATCTGCTTGCGTCACTTGTAGTTCCTCCACAGCTACCACCTATCTTTAGTCTTAAATGTGTCACAGATTGCAGTATTTAGAGCTATTCTGCTCAACTGATATTTAGATGTTTTGATTTTCATTTCTCTTACAGACAAAGAAAGGCTTTGTGCCCAAAGATACTGTTTCAGTATTTTTTTCCTCTAACTAAAATATTATGGTCTAATAAGAATTAATCTCTCCTCAGAAATGCTGACTTGCTTACATCCTTTAGGTCATTGCAGCTATGGTGGCATGTCTGCCATAAGCATATTTGGAAAGAAAGTTTACTCTTCTGTGCTGTTCTGTTACAGAGCTGTACACAATGTACTCAATCAAAAAAACCCATACACGTATTTACCTTAATAAGATTTTAGCTGTGGGGTTGTAGAATTGATTTCACATTTTATCAGAAAGACAGGCTGGTGTTTTATTTCCAGCCTTCTTTTTCCAGAAAGACATTTTCTCATTGCAGTTGGGACACTTCTGTAAGTGATAGAGCTCATTTAAATAATTTACCATTGGTAACACAGATTTTTTTGATTCCTAGAAAGCCTTAATACTTGGGGGAAGCCTTCCTTTCTGAAAGGGTTACTTTCCATGTTGCTCCCCCAGTTCTCTAGAGACAGTTCTAAAGAGGTACTGGGTAGAGTCCAAACTGACTGATGAAGAGATTAATCATCTTGATCTGGTGAGTAATCTGACTGCACTGAACTCATGCAGTGAACCTGGCAGGAGTTGCACCATGTTCTGTCCCAGCACTGGTGTGGCTGAGGCAGGCCTCCCCTGGGCCACGTGCTCTTCTGAACAGCCTGGCTGTAGAGCAGATGCCTAGGATCAATTGACTGCGTTGGGTGGCTCTGTCCAGTCAGTGGCTATGTGTTGGTGTGTGTGTTCACATAGAGCTGTGTGTGAGATAGCCAACGAGGTGTACGTTCAGTAAATCGTGTGCTGTGTGTATAAGGAGTTCTCTGGTTGGAGCTGCTGAGCTAAAAAATGCCTTTTCTGTACGCTGCATTATTGAAATTGGATGCTCTCTTCTAGGTAGGGGATTTGAAACCCCAGTGAAGCTTTCACATTAGTGAGCTCAGGCTCAGATCAGTTATTCATTTATCCGCTGTTTTTGCCTCCTCTCTTGGATCAGAGATGTCTTACAGAGTTGTTTAATTTCAGTTGCCATGCTTTATATTAACCTACCTGGCCTTACCTCCCCAGGATCTCAGAATTGCACGGCTTAAACCTCAGCTCTTAGAGGACTAAGGGAATGAGAGAGGTTTGGGTTTTAGAGGTTTTCAGCTATTGTATTTTGAAATGGGAGTAGGTAGAGATTGGCTTGTTTGGAGGATAAGAAGAAAAGTCAGTCTGTTCCAGGGGTGGCAATTCTGAGATCTCTGCTGGTGTGTTTCTCATCTCATAGTCCTGGAGGCTGCTGCATGCTGTTCTTCAGCTTCTCTCCTCGTATTTCTTTTTGAGGTAAGATGAAGCAAAGCACTTTGGATGCTTTTGTTCCCAGCACAGACTGTATGGTTTTGCTTTCAGGTACTTTTGTATTTATTTCTTTTGGTGTGGAGGAGACAGACCACGGTACCTTATATTTGCTTTCATATGTGAGATTTTCAATTGGTCTCATATCTGAATGATAAATATTTTAGGGAATTGAGTTTTCCTCCTAGTTCCAAATCACATGCGTCCCAATTGACAGGAGGCAGAAATCCTCTTGGAAGAATTTAATGGTGGATTTGTGCTTTAGTGTGACATCCATCACTGCCCTGTTTCAGCTTGCTGACCTGGTATTTTACGTCTGTCCCTTAAAACTGGAGTTGAGTCTTTGTGCGTGTCGTGCAGCTGTGCGTGAAGCGGCTGTTAGCAGTCCTGTATCTTGTCTTTATGTGCAGGATGAGGTTTTTCAAATAGGAGCACCTTGTTTGTTTCTGTGATGAAGTTCAAAGGACCGACTCCAATAACTTCCACCTGGATAGCTAGATAGGGAGCTTCTTTCTATAAGGATTCATTCAGAAAGAGCTCAAACCAGATACTCTTTTGCTGAACAGTGTTAAGCAAAGTTTATCGAGACGATGATGCCTTTGAGAGGCAAGTTCTTCTGTCTTGCTCAGGTGGAGGGTTGAAAAACTTCTGTCTTAAGAAATGGGATGTTACTTTAAATTACTTGTGGTGTGAGTGCACATATAGGCTGTCACTGGGGGCAGTGGAATTAATGACCTGTAATTCTTCTAGTGTCTATTTCTTCTTGAAATATTTCCCATCAGTTTGGGCAACATTAATGGAAAATGCCAAGCTGTTTTATTTTCTTGTTTTATTTAGTGTCTCTATTGCTCTATTTAGTGAACTCTATTGCTTGTTAACTCTATAACTTGTTCATTCAAGTGTGAGTCACATTTTTTCCCTTCAGAATCGTTTTAAAGACACGAAAGGGAAAACATTAGCTTATTTATTACAGAATTCTTAATTTTCTCAATGTTAGTCTAGTTACAGTTAAGGATTTTGCTTCTTGTTTGCCCTTAGTTTAAGCCATAAAGCAACAGCTGAGCCTGGGGTCAGTAGTAAGACCATTTCAGAGTTTTTCTGGCATGTTCTGAAATTCCTAGATTTCGTAATGCTTACGTGGTTTAATTCTCAGCCCTGTTTGCTGCTAGTTTAGCCTAATGCACAAACCCCAAAGAGTAAGTAATAACTTCTGTTTTCATATGACTGTACTTTGGAGGCTTTCGTGTATTTGAGGCTGATGTCTGTGACAGCATTTGTCAGAACATTTTTCTGATTTTGAACATGAGCAGAGTCACTTCTACTGAATTCTGTGAGAATGAAACTCATGTCTAATGATTACTTGTGTGGAATAATGGCGTAACAGGGTAAAGTATTTTGTGTATAGGTTGAGCTTAGAATTGGTTTTGGAATAGTTTAGAGAAGAAAAAGTTAGAGAAGTCTCTCTTTGGTCTTGGTGGGGTGACCCCAGTTCCCATCTCAGACAGCACACTGTTCTGGCCTTCCCACCAGTCTGACTCCATGCACCCGGGTCTCAGAGTGAAAGCACAGCTTTGGCTGTTGCAGCCTCGTGCCCCCATGCAGCGCCTTTGTGAGGTTAAGCCTCAAGCTTCCTTTCCTTGCACTACTTCTTTGTCTCTCCCTCTGGATGCCCTGGCTCACGTCATCAGCGTCCTGCTTTGTCTCTGCAGCAGATACCTGCACTAAGGAGGATTACAAATGTATTTAGATACAGTGCAGCCATCCGGCTTGCCTTTTCCATATTCAGGGATTCCTGTTCCCTATTCAGGGATCCCTCTCATTAACAGAAGAAAAGTCAATCTTTTTGAGCCTAGAAAACGAAGCCACTTCAGGATTCTGACAAACTGATGCTTAAAATGAAAAACAGGCAAACCACCACGGGTGACTGTCAAGTTAAGGGGCTTTAGGTAGAAAGCAGCAATTTCGGGCATCTCAAGGTGCTGAAACAGTAGGTGAGATGGGGCACACAGTAACTGCTGTTGTTGCTCCCATTAGAAAGCACAGGAATCTTTTTCCTGTATCTGGATGATAGTTTGGTGGATCCTGAGGAGAGTGGACTTGACACGAACTTATTTCTGTCAGATGTCAAGAAATGTCACGTTATGCTTGTAAGAGGTTTACTGGAGCCCGACTCATCCTTGGTGGGGGCTGCTGCTGTGTGGAAGCTCTTGATGGCATTTGAGGACTTTGTTTTTTGGATTGAGCTGAAGGCCCACCCTAACCTGTGAAAGCATGTCTCTCTTTTGAGATGCAGGACTACCTGTGCTTCACATTCTTGGTGTGTGCATTTCACATCCAGCTCCTACTGTTTTCCCTAGTCCTTGCAGGATTTAACATCACCCTTTTGAATTTCATGTTGAGAGGAGCTGAGTATAGAGGGGCCATGTTCTGGCTTATGTTAGCATCTGTGGAGGGCATCAACTTGCCTTCCTGCTTTCTTTTAGCAATACTTCTAGCTAGATCATATGCTTATGGCTTTCTGTCACCCAGATTGAGTAAGCATGTGGATTGTACATTCTGGAATGGAATCATAGAGTGTTTTAGTTTGGAAGGGTCCTTAAAGACCAGGCAGTTCCAAACCCCTGCCACGAGCAGAGACAACTCCCACTGGGTCAGGTTGCCTGGTCTCCATCCAGCTGAGCCTTGAACACCTGCAGGGATGGGGCATCCACCACCCTCAGCAATCTGTGCCAGGGCCTTGCCACTTTCATAAAGCATTTCTTCAGATCATCTAATCGGTACCTGAACCAAGCTACTTTTACTTCTTCACTCTTATTAAACAGTGGTAGTGTGTCTCTTCAGAGCTTGGTAGATCTCAAACATTAAGTGTATTTATAGCTTTCTTGTTGATAAAGGAAACTTTGCAAAAAAAAAAAAAAAAAAAATTGGGAGGGAACTCTTATTCTTCTAATCATAAATGCAGAGAAGAAGTTTTTCATAGATATTCTGCCATTGTTTTAAGCTTTCTATCTTGCATTTGTATGCAAGGCCTTAACTGACTGTTGTCAAGAAGCAGTTGCACTATTCCTCGCCGTTTTCTCTCTGTCCCCACCAGTGGTGATCCCTTTTAAAGGAGAAGGCTAGCCTACAGCTCTGTCTTCTACCAGCTCTATTCCAGAAATCAGATTCCTTTCCGTTCATCCTGGAAGATGCAACTAAAAACGCTGACTTCCTGCTCTTTACATTAAAAGCTTTAATGGAAACTGGGTGCCTGTATATTCAAGGTAAATGGTACTGTGACAGTATTGTCCTCAGTACAATTTTAGAGTTGCTTGCATGTTGTTTTCTATAACAGTATTCCTCAAAAGGCTGCATTGTTCTGTGGCAGATGGCAGTTTTTGCTTTTGCCTGCCTCACAGTAGGGAGAAAGAGAAGATTCACACATGAGATTGTAGCAGGAATCTTAATTTTTTTCCCCCCAGAAAGTGAATTTTTTCCATGAGATGAAAAATTCTAACAGTTAACTACGTGACCCATCACAAATGGGATCTACAACAGCTGATTGTAAGCTCAAAAAATCTATTAAACAATTCATGTTTACAGGGAAGAAGTTTTACTCAGAATTCTGAAGCAGGAAAGGAGGGGCTTTGATGATGATCTGCCAAATCCAGCTGTAAATTTCATTATTTAATTTTATCGGAGCTGAAGTGTTGTGTCTTCATTGCACTGTTTTTCATTAAGGTTGTATAACTGCTTAGAGAAAATGACTGTTAACATGACAAGTATATGTGTAATAAATTATTTGTTGTTTTCCAAAGGTCCTCATTCTGAAAGTTTACGTTGTATGCCAGCATAAAACACTTCTACTGTCCTGTCTGTAATTTGCTGCCATTTATCCAGTTTGAGTTATGCTGTCAACTGTCTGTTTGTTTTGATTAAGACTAATATGGATGTTGACGTGAACTGATGCTTAAAAACTGGGAATTCAGTGGTTTGGAATTCCTTGGCTTGACAGTGGCTTTTAGGTTATTTCTCAACAGCTGCTGATGATGGAAAATATACATTCCTGACTGAATAAAGCCCTGAATTTCGTAGCTGACTTTGCTTTGACCTTGCAGGAGATAAGACTGGAGACCAGAGATCCGTTTTAGCCTGGCTTGTTCTGTGATGTTCATGTATATTTATGCGTGTGAGTGAACACGTGTGTGTAGTATCTATCTATGATGTATAAGGATACTTGGAGTGATGTCAGATCTCATAGCTATAATAAATTTTTCGTTCTGCTGGTTTTCTTTGCCCAGTCTGCCACTAAGAAACCTCGGAAGTCTCCAGGAGACAAAGGTCGTTCTGAATCTGGAGCCAGAGGAGCAAGTCGTGGAAGAGCTAATGGCCACCCTCAGCAGAATGGAGAAGGAGACCCCGTCACTTTGTTTGAGGTGGTTAAGCTGGGGAAGAGTGCCATGCAGGTAAAATACCTAACTGTGTTATACCTTCAGATTGCAGGGCATCCTGGCTGTAGGAGTTTGACCTAAGCCGTGCTTTTGTAAACACTTGGATTTTTTTCATAAGCTCTATTGGTCCAATAAACTCTCATGTTTAACGTTATCTTAGTCTGTATCTGATAAGGAGCAGTGAGCTGTGTTGGAGCTGGGGCTGTTATGCTTCTGAAAGACAGGTGGCAGTTCAGAAAGTCGTTAGTTGAATTCACAAATATTTTGTTGATTGCTTTTGAGCTGAAAATGCATGTTGCTATTAAGCAGTCCATTAAACAATAAGCTGTGGTATGTTTTGCAGGAAGACAAAGTATAAAATGATACTTCTGTTGGATACAAAGCTTTTTGTTTTCCTGTTTGGCTTTTTTTTCCAAATAGCTGCTGGCACGCTTTTGAGTACTTGCATCCCTCTTGCTGTCTCCACCAGAACTACAGAATAGAGCTAAGCTAGTTGCCTTCACTTCCTCTCTAACTGAGGAGCAAAGATTGACACACCCTGAAGGCAATTTTTTTACTCCAAGATGAATATCTAAGGCAGCTCTTTTGAAATGCCTCCAAAAAAGTTTCGTAGGTCTCTATGTTTTGATCTGAGGTCTTAAAGTTATTTATTAGCCTAGATGAGGCCCATCTGAAGAACCTCTATAGGTGATTGTTTTGTGTTTGTGTGGTTGTAGTAACTTGCTGTGCTTCAGCTATTTCTTTTTGGCATGCAAAGGAGAAATGGTGGGCCCAGAATACTGATAACCTATTGCTGTTAAAAGCCAACAGCAGTTACTGCTGAAGGGTTGTGTAAGAAGACCTCCTTTATTTTGCATTTCAACAAAATGGGTCCCATGCGACATCAACATCAGTTGGTGTGTTTTGATTTTGTGAGAGAAACTGTAAATTAGGAAAGTGAGGCTCAAAATCACAGTCATTATGTTTAGCCTTCCACAGGCATGAAAGCTATGGAATGTTTTCTCTGGATTTCAAATCTGTGATGTAGAATGTTGTTCCTGTTACACAGGATCGTCCCTTGTCTAGTAGGTGAAGACAGAACAAATTTACTCCTAACAAAACTACAGGTTCTGTGTGCCCCTCCTTCCTACATGTTTTACATTGAGGCTTCCAACTCACTTGGATTTCAATGCTTTTTCAAATTTTGTTTTTGGCAGGATTTGAGGAAACATCTGGAGTCTATTTTCTGGTTTTACTGCAGTACTGAACATACATTCTGCTTTACGTAGTGTGTTTGTCTTAGAGTTACTGATATTTGCAGGAGCCAAACGAGAAGTAGTGAGCGATTGCTTTGATGTTTGATGACTCTGTGTGTGTGGGACTGCCTGATACGTTTTCTCTATTTCAAAGAAGTCTTCCTCAAATTAAATTCTAGAAAGAAATCACCTGTGTGTTTGTATTAAGAGACCTTTGGAATTCAAATACAAAGGAACTGTTTTGAGAAATGTAATGGTTGTGTAAAAATATACGAGGGGTGTGTTTATGTGCATGTGCTCATGTGCTTACAAAATGCTCAGCCTGTGTCTGATACGCATGAGAAAGAAGTAGGTGGAGCATCTGAAGCTGTTCCTATGAGTGAACAAAAGGCAGAGGAGTAGGCAGGTTTGTCTGCAGGCACAGAGCACCGATGCCCCGCACTTCAGGGCAGCATCAGGAACTCTGATGCTAATTTCAAGAGTGTGTCACTTGTGTCCCTTCCCAAATTTGCTATTGATTAAAAAAAAATTCCAAAAATAATAATAGTACCAAATGCTACAGTCGGGGAGAGGATGCAATTATGATGGGATTAGATTACTTTGAGTTCCTGGATAATAATGCCACGTGAAACAAAGGTAATAGTTGAGGGATTTTATGAAACAATGAGGAATGCTCAGCTTTTTTTTTTTTTTAGCTCACAGTTTTGATGCAGGTTTTAGTTGTGGATTTTTTAGCAATTTGTCAGTATTGTCAATTGTCAGAGAAATGACATGAATTTGCATTTGTCAGAGCCTATTATTTACTGCTATTTAATTATTTTTCTGTAATATGAGCCTGCCTTTATTGTAGTGCTCTTAGCTTTGCTTCCAGCAATGCAAAACAGAAAAAAATCAATTAATATAGTTTCAAATTACATGGGAATTTTACTTCGTGTGCTTTCATTTCTGATCTGTCTGCTCCAGCTGTTTGCTCTCAGGATGTATTTTAGTTGGTAGATTTTTCTGGCTTAGTATTGCCAGCTCCTGGAAGTCTAGCTGAGGAGTTGTATTCAGTTCCACTTGATTTTTTTCCTCTGTTTTGGTTCTCATTGCAAGCTTACTGCCCTTTGGTTCTTCCAGGGAAGCAAAGTTGTGTTAATATTTTGTTTTCCAAGTGCATATCATAGAATCATAGAATCACCAAGGTTGGAAAAGACCTAAAAGATCACCCAGTCCAACCGTTCACCTATTCCCAATAGCTCCTACTAAACCACGTCCCTCAACACAACATCCAGCCTTTCCTTGAACACCCCCAGGGTCGGTGACTCCACCACCTCCCTGGGCATCCATTCCAGTGCCTGACCACCCTTTCTGACAAGTAATACTTCCTCATGTCCAGCCTGAATCTCCCCTGCCGTAGCTTGAAGCCATTCCCCCTGGTCCTATCACTAATGACACGAGAGAAGAGGCCGACCCCCAGCTCACTACAACCTCCCTTCAGGAAGTTATAGAGAGCAATGAGGTCTCCCCTGAGCCTCCTCTTCTCCAGGCTGAACATTCCCAGCTCCTTCAGCCTCTCCTATCACTTCAGAGGTGCTCTTGGCCTATGAATCTTTGCCTCTTTCATGAAGTGTTAGCTGTATCCATCCATCACATTCTCATTTGAACTCTGTAAATGGATTTGATACCCACATTAGCCTGGTACTGGGTTGCTGGTATTGGTTTTGGTTTTTAGCTCTGGTACCATTAATTGCTTCAGAAGCTGGCAATTCTCTTTGTATGCAGTGCAGTATGTCCTTACTGCTTTCTGATGGTACATTGCTTTGATCCAGTAAAACTGTTCCTAGAGCTGTTTATGCACACGTTTTTCTTTTATGCAAATATGACACTTTCCTGCTTTTTATCATTTAGCTCTTTTCTTTACCTTGAATGCTGGGTGCAGATATATCCACTATATTTCCCCACCCTTAAATTCTGTTGGCCAAAAAGACCGCCTCATCATTTCTCATGTTAAACTGTCTGAGCTCCCACTGGTGGGAGTGAAGGCCGTGGATTAATGCCCACCAGCAGCACAGCTGAGCCCCACTGTGCAGGCTGACCTGTGGCTGAAGATTTCCTGGGCACTTCTGCACTGCTCTCTGACCCGGCATGAAGCCAGTGCTGAGCACGTGCTCATCTCACATGTTGTTTAGACTGCAAGCTGAACATTTCTTATGGGTCAGTTATGTCCAGTTAGCAGTAATGAAGTTTATGCTTCTGTGTTGGTCAACCCAGGTGTGGAGGCATTTTGCTTTCGTGTGTACAGAGGAGATCTGTGCCTCTCCCAGAAAACCAGAGATAATCAGCAGTAATCAAACAAGGCATTTGGTAGCAAAACATAAACAGATCTGTGCTGAGATCATATTGTGTGCACTGCCACTTACCCTTATCTGGAGTGAACTGCAAACATCAGGTTAATGTTGATATTTGAAATATTTGAGCCCCCTGCTTATATGTTGCTGTTGAGTAGTGATGGTTCAGAGTAAAACATCTCCATTGAGTGCAACTTTGTGTGTGTTTTAGGCTTTGTATCCCAAGGTATTTTAGTATGTTGAAATGGAATTGTCATGGTGCTGACATGCATTACAGCATGGCCAGTGCCAGAGCCTGTGCAGCATTACCAGCTGCTTCCCAGCACATTCAGCATCCAGACGAAGCTTTGCTTTGCTTTCTTCTCCACTCCCTGAAATCTAGTCACAGTTATTTTAATTGCATAATTATTATGCAGTGTAATCTCTGTGATCCTTAGACCTCTCATTGGCTCTAGTTAAGAGCAGTTGTTGTCTGCCCACTTCCATTTTCATACACTGAGGCTGCTGTGGATCAGATCTGTCCCACCTTCTCTCCCACCCACAGCTGGTGTATTTTACACTTTTCTGGTGTATTTGGTAGTCACACAGAGGCAGATACGTGGCACTGGGATGGATATTTCTCAGCTGGATCGGCTCTCTGATTCAGCTCATCTCTGGCAGCAGCTCAGAATTATTCTGGGTTGAAATGGTTGTATAGCCACGATCATATCTACCTTATTCAGGAGTTGTGTTCTGCATACACACCTCGTTACTTGAGCTTAAAAACATAAACATTCTAGCTCTGACTGGATCATCTCATAAGTCCAATATCCTGTCACTGGCAAAGGCAAATAAGAAAGGACGATTAGACATCAAAACATATTTTGGGAATTCTCCCTACCTCAGACTGTTTGCAGCTCAGAGTGAATGTCCTTTCTGTGTTTACAGGAGCCTTAATGGCTTTTTTCTCCCTGAATTCTACCAGAAGCCCTCTTCAGTGCGTAGTGTCTCTGCATCTACCATGACTATTTCAGGAAGTCAAGGTTTTCCATAAGATTTAACAGCATACAAACTTTAGGATGTTAAGTGTTATTCCTGTTCTTTGTATTGAAAGCATGGTTTGTTAGTCTTTTGCTGTATTGTAACAGTTCTGCGTTCTCTTGAAGACTGGATAATGACCTGGGATAATGACCTGGTATTTTACCAAACAGCCTCAGAAACTCCTAAGGAGTTTTAAGTAGATGTTCTCTAAAGTTTACAGAATAAAATGACTACAACTATTATTGTCATTTTAAATAGTATTTAGTTTTGATTCTGCTAGATGGATTTTTCTGCAACCTCATCTTGGTTTGCTTTAGATATATGCTGCTGGTTTAAAAGGAAGAATCTGAACCAGGTACATGCTCTCATGCTTGCTGTGCTAGCAACAGCTTAGCTGCCAAATTAAACATCAGTTAAGTGAAGATGCATC